TAAACATGCTGGGCATGCATGTGCGGTGGGGATGGAGCCGTTGGAATCCTGTTGGGTTTTGACGTCGACCTCCGGATCATCACGTTCGGTTTCTTCTTCTCCACAACCGCCGACTGTTGTGGATCTCCGTGGTGGCCTTTTCCACAAAAAGATGACTGACGTCGTACCTCCCGTGCCAGTGCAATCGTGTGTTCTTCCTTTCTACACAACGCGATCTTCGTGGATGGGTACCGTAGTGTGGTGGTCGATCCGGCTCTGTCTCCACTCGAGCTTATATATGAGCTGGCGTGTGATCTTCACACGCCACCGGATACTTCTTACTCAGGGCCGACTGTTGCGTCTCTTGACGCTGGCACTGCCGATTCGCAGGATCAAGTTGTTGCTACAGCAGCTGAGGTTCAACTTTCTGATGGAGAAGAAAAGGAAGCCGATGGGTCGTCTTTGTTGCCGCTCTTGGCAGCCGTGACCAGGCATTTGGAGTCGATTTTAATCATCACTGGAGGCCCCACCACGTTCTTTGTAATTGCAGCAAGCTGTTGAGGGGTCCTGCAAGTGTTTGGTTTCAGTGTTCGCAGTTTGTTGGCATTCATGCCTTCTTATTCTTAATCAATTTCCACAGCGTAATCATGTCCACGATGCTCATCAAAAGCATATACAAATTGTTGATGTAGTAGCTGGGCTCGTCTGTTACCACAGGCTGCATTGCCCTGGGGACAGTTCACACATGATCTAGTCACGTTAGTCTTCGTCTAAAACTGGAACCATCTGCAGCCGGCTCTTGCTCTTCTTGGTTCGCAGGTGATCGTACAGTAGACCTCCACACGACAAGTTGGATGCAGGTTTCCTCGTAGCAACCCCACTTAAATTTGAACTCGCGTACAGCACGCTCCGTTCTCGTTGAAAGTAGTGTTCGATCGTCGAGGATGGCCTCGACTTCATACTCGCCAGAGACTTGATCTGGTTCCCAATCGTCTTTAAGCAACAATTCTCGTCGAAATCGAATCATGACTCATCATTCGCGTCAGGTACCAAGCGAATCTCTGGTCGACTGTTGCATTCGCTCACAGCATTAAGCCTTGACACATGAACCACGGGGCTGAAGCGGTATCTGCTCCGACCAGGCAGATCCAGCTCATGTGCGATCCCTTCCACCTTGTGTTTGATCCGAAATGGCTCATGCCATCGATGAGCCAGTTTCTTCGTCAGGCCTGGTTTGACGCGCTCCTTGTACAGCCACATCCTGCTCCCAATCTTGAAAAAGGACCTCGGTGGAGACTCTACATGATAATGTGCACCCGTTAAGGTTTCTTGTGCGTGCACCTAGTGTTCGTTTCTACTTAATTGAGGTACAACAGCTTTCTCCTGTCGACGCAATGCATCATTATGCTTCTTAGCTCGTCGCTCCTTCTCAGTATCCTGATAACCCTTGGCAATAGTCAGGGCAATCTCGTGCTGTCGGCTGACTTAACGTCGCCACGCTAATGGGTTAGACTGCATGCCAAGTCCTGGTTTGATCGACCGCAACGTCGACTGTGCATCCCAACCATGAACCAGATAGAATGCCGTATTTTTCCTTGTAGCGTTTTGGGTGGTATTAATAGCAAATACCACCCTCTCAGCGATTTCATATCATCCGCGTACACACGTATAGAGGCCATCACTGACTTCACCGAGCGTTCCTGCTGATCTTTAGCCTGCTCCCAATAATTCAGAGTTGCTCCTGATCTCGACCGCATCATCTCGGCGAATACTTATAACACCTCCCATACGAAGCGCGGATCGCGGTCGTGTCTGATCAATGATGGCGCTCCGAACCGTCGGTATACACATTCTTCAAACACTTGGGTCACAATCAGCACAGTTGTATCCGACATTGCCTTGGCGATGACGAATTCGGCAAATGAGCGCTGAAATAGAAGCAAC